TTCCTTCCTTGCTTCCTTCCTTCCTTCCTTCCTTTCTTTCTTTCTTTCTTTCTTTCTTTCTTTCTTTCTTTTTTTTTCAAGACAGGGTTTCTCTGTGTAGCCCTGGCTGTCCTGGAGCTCACTCTGTAGACCAGGCTGGCCTCGAACTCAGAAATCCACCTGCCTCTGCCTCCCAAGTTCTGGGATTAAAGGTGTGTGCCACCACCACCTGGCTAGTAATTTCTTTTTTTACATTAATTTTTATTAATTAATTATTTTACTTATTTTCATCCCAAATGTTGCCCCCTTTCTGTTCCCCACTTGCAGAGTTGTTCCTCTGCTCCTACCCCTCTTAACCTCTCAGAAAGTTCCCCATATTCTCCTACCCTGGACCATCAAGTCTCTACAGAATCAGATGCATCCTTTCCCACTGAGGCCAGACAGTGCAGTCCTCTGCTACATAGTGCTGGGAACTGTGGATCAGTCAGTGTAGTTTCTTTGGTTGGTAACTTAGTCTCTGGGACTTCCCAGGGTTCCAGGTAATTTTTTGCTATTCGTCTTCCTATGGGGTTGCCATCTTCTTCAGTTCCTTCAATCCTTCCCCAAACTCTTGCATTGGGATCAAAACCTCCATCCAATACTTGGCTGTGAGTATCTGCATCTATCTCCATCAACTGGTGGATAGAGCCTCTTAAAGGAAAGTCATACTGGTCTCCTATCTGCAAGTACAACATAACATCTGTAATAGTGTTAGGGTTTGGTGCTTGTCTGTGGGATGGATCCCAATTTTGGCTGGTCACTGGTAGCCCATTCCTTTAGTCTCTGCTCCATTTTTATCTCTGCGTTTCTTTTAGATGGAACAATTTTGGGTCAAAAGCTTTGTTAGGTGAGTTGGTGTCCTATCTGACTACTGGAGGTGATCTCTTCAGGTTCCATATCCCCACTCTTGGGCATTTCAGCTAAGGTCACCCACATTGAGACCTTGGAGGCTTCTGCATCCCAGGTCTCTGGTATTTCCTCAAGGTTCCTTCGAAGCCCCAACTCCAGCAGCTGCATATGTCCATTAATTCTCTTAGCCCTTAGTAAACATATTTCACTCCAGCTTTTTTCCTGAGGTAAGTTAACATAAGTGTAAATAGTTTCCTTTATTTAAAGAAGAAGTCCAGAGGCCAGGTTAATCAGAAAAGAGAAAAGTTTTAGCAACTATTTCTAGTCTCCTGTGAATTCTGTCCTCTGTGACCTGAGCAAGAGATATGGAGCTTGGCTCAGGATGACCTTCTGAACTTATTGCTCTGTTCCTGTTTTATTGAAAGCTCTGTGTCATTAGTGTTGAAGATCTGTATCCTTCATTTAGTCTCTGAATCCGTATGTCCTAGGATTTACACTTGAGGCAATTCAACAAGCCTGTTGAAATATTTTCTATTCAATATCATGGCATGTGGCCTATCACCTGCTTAATCCCTAATTATTTTAAATGTGTGACCATCCTGTGGTCTGTGATAATTCCTCCTTGTGAAATTTTTTTATTTATTTCAGGCAATTTAATATTTGCAATGGACTGAAAGCTATTTGTTTATATTGTACTCCCCAGGCCTAACCACTGTGTTTGTTATGGCAATAACTGGCTTAATGAATTCTGTAACTCATTTTATATTGGTTTTCGAGACTATCAAGATATGAATGTTGAAGTGTAAGAAGTTATAGAGAATAAAATTGTAGCAAACACTACAGCATAGAGAATACAGACAAACATGATGAAGAACCTGTAGCCAACAAGAAATTTTACTTTTTCTTGATGCTCCATATAGTTTATAAATTTTAGGTAGAAAAAGTGTATGTGTAATAGTTCATACATGTATTTACTTTCTATTTAACATTATACACACATATATAAATATGTAAAATCAATGAAGAAAGAATTTAAATATATATTTCTTGTCCTAATGGGAAATTACTTCTAAAAGTACATAAATATGACAATTTATGAAAGTTGACAAGATAATGAATAATAGTATATAACAAAAATTTTCAAAAAGTTTATCATTACTCACACATTTATTATTTGAAGAAACTGAAAAATGATGTCAATTTTACAGACTGAGCACCAAGCAAACACTTATATCATTATTGTGAAAAATTAAAAAGTAACTAAATTTTATTCCTTTATAGCATTACTGATTACTATTGAATGGTGACCTTTTATATTTATCTTCTTGGATACTCATCTTCCAGTTCTCTTCTGTGTGTTCTTTTGTATAATATGTGCATGTATGTATCTGTATGAGTGAATGAGAGCACATGAATCTACCTTTGCATGCATCAGGTGATCAGAGGTCCATCTTGGGTGTCTTCTTCACCTTCCATCTTGTTTGGGGGAGAACATCATGTTCCTACTCTGTATTTCATGCTGCCTTTGGGTTTTCAGTAAAATGCCTGTTTCCACTTCCCATTCCACCATGGAGATCTATTACAGAGGCATGCATGCTACCATGCCCAGCTTTGTGTGGGTACTTAGAATTCAAACTCATATCACATATTTGTACCAAAAGCATTTTTTCCACTCAACCATGCCGCCAGTCCATGTTTTTTTACTTCTGAATCACAACTAGTATACTGTAGCAAGTATTTGATCAATTAGTAAAATGAAATGAAAATGATACCATGCGACTGTATCTCCCTGAAGTTCCTTCTTAGTAAGGAATGTGCAACTTGGCTTCTTCTTTTCAAAACAAAATACTCAGTTTCTATTTTCATTAAGAAATTTTAAATAAGAGAACTGATTATCTTTTTTGATAGATGTGTATTCGACTATTATTCTCTGTGAAAGTTCCAGGAAAAGGAACATGATATGAATTTAGTTTTTGTCCAACGATTTACACAGTAATGCGTAAGGTAGATGGTATGAATTACTAGAAAATATTTTTGTGTATTTTTACACTAGTAACAATTTCAAAATAGTCACTAAAACTAATATGATTTACCTGTCTTTCTAGCTGGGAGGACCACCCTGAGTTTCCATTTTTGGATGAATACTAACATGGAAGTCTGTGTCATGCCTTGTCCCAGAAGTCACTGCATGGAAAGAATATAGAGGAAGGGTACTCTCAAAAAGTGATGATTACATATCACCCTAATCCAGGCTTCTGAGCAATTCTGGCTCTGCTGAATCTACATCTTAAACAAGAAAGCAAAAACTACGTATATTTCTCCTTTCTAGAAATAAAAGAATCATTTTCCTTTAGCATTTATCTTTGCAAGTTTATATTATGTATTTTAACTTTTCCTGGCCCCTTTGCATCCCTGTAGGATTTATATAAAATGTGTGTGTAGGGATTGAAAAAAAGACATTAACATTTCTGACATAATGGTGAACAGAATTATCACCTTCTGGGAAGTAGCAGTTAGCATGTGTTTGTTAGTAGTTTTTTTTTCTCTAGTATTTCATGAATAAAGTAGCATATCATGTATAGTCTAGAAAGTGAGCAATACATATAACCACCCACTGTTTCTCCAGGAACTCAGACTGAAGTATCCTTGTGGGAGGGTTGACAGGAGGTAAGGGGAAACTAGCCTTCAAAACACAAGAAGATTCTGATGAATTGAAATTTAGGAGATACATGCCAAGCATGTCTCTTCTTGGAAAACATGGGTCAATATACTTTGCAACATATATCCAACTAATAAAGTTTCGTTGTCTTACAGAACTCTTTCAATCTAGTGATGTGTATTAAGTCTGGAGATCAGAATGTGCCAGGAAAAACAATACATTTTTCATGATTAAGGAACCTTACTTAAACTCTTTAATATCTTTTTAAAAAATACTAGTTATAAGTATTTTTATTTATTATTATATTTTATAGAAGTTATTTTCACATTTTTTCTTTTTATTGGTTATTTCATTTATTTACATTTCAAATATTATCCAAATATCTCCTTCACAAGCTCCCTATCCCCTCCTCTGTCTCCCTGCCTGTATGAGGGTACTCCTCCACCTGCCCACCCACTCCTGCCTCAGTGCCCTAGTGTTCCCCTATCTTGGATCATTAAGCCTCCTCAGTACCATGGGGCACCCCTCTTAGGGATGCCAGATAAGGCAATCATCTGTTACATATGCTGCTGGAGCTATGGGTCCCTCCATGTGTACTCTTTGGTTGGTCATTTAGTCCCTTGGAGCTTTGGGGAGTCTGGCTGGTTCACATTGTTGTTCTTCCTATGGATTGCAAACACCTTGAGCTCCTACAATCCTTGCCCTAACTCTTCCATTGGGGTACCCACATTCAGTATAATGTTTGGCTGTATATATCCTCATACAGTTTTATATGGTCTATGAGTTGTATTGTGAATATCCCTATCTTCTTTTTGGCTAATATCCACTTATCATGAGTACATACCATGTGTGTTCTTTTGTGGCTGGATTACCTCACTCAGGATGATATTTTCTAGTTCAATCAATTTGCCTGCAAACTTCATGAAGTCATTGTTTTTCATGGCTGGGTAGTACTCCATTGTGTAAATGTATCACATTTTCTGTATTCATTCTTCTGTTGAGAGACATCTATGTTGTTTCCAGCTTCTGTCTATTATAAATTTGGCTGCAATTAAAATAGTGGAACATGTGTCCTTATTACATGTTGGAGCATCTTCTGGGTATATGCCCAGGAGTGGTATAGCTGGTTCCTCAGGTAGTACTATGTTCAATTTTCTGAGTAACTGCCAGACTGATTTCCAGAGTGGTTGTACCAGTTTGCAGTCCCAACAGCAACGGAGGAGTGTTCTACTTTCTCCACATCCTTGCCAGTATTGGCTGTCGCCTGAGTTTTTGATCTTAGCCACTCTGACTGATGTGAGATAGAATCTCAGGGTCATTTTGGTTTGCTGTGATAAATGTGTAGATCAAAAGCAACTGAGGGAGAACGGAGAACAGGAGTTTGTTCTATCTTGAAATCCCAGTTATCAGTCTCTCAGGAAGTGGAGTCAAAAAAGAAGCTCTAACGGCAGTCATATCAACCCATAGAGCCAAGTAGAAGAAAACAATGCTCTCACACTGCCTGCCTTTTTATGCTTATACTCAGCTAAGTTTCTTAACCTTACTGAATCATATTCCTATACGAACCCCATAAAATGGTGTCACCCACATTCAGTGTATCTTTCTTCTTCTATTAAGAATTAGACAATTTCCTGGCCAGGCGGTGGTGGCGCACACCTTTAATCCCAGCACTTGGGAGACAGAGGCAGACAGATTTCTGAGTTCGAGGCCAGCCTGGTCTACAGAGTGAGTTCCAGGACAGCCAGGGCTATACAGAAAAACCCTGTCTCGAAAACCAAAAAACCAAAAAAAAAAAAAAAACCAACAAAAAAACCCCCAAAGAATTAGACAATTCCCCCTCCTACATGTCTACAGGCTACCTAGCCTAGATAACTCCTCATTAAGGTTCTCTTTCCAGGCAAGTTTGTTTCAAGTTTACAGTTAAAACTAACCAGAACAGTTCAATACAATGCTGAGACCAAGATTTAGTTTAGTTTAGTTTAGTTTAGTTTAGTTTAGTTTAGTTTAGTTTAGTTAGTTTTCAACCCAAACTTCACTCAAGGTAACCATGCAAACAATGGCAATTATATGAAGAGTAAAAACTCTTAAAAAGCACATATACTGGAAAATATAAAATAGAAGGACTAAGTAGACAATTGTCCTGAGTTGGATATGTACTACATATGGTGAATTTGTGCGGGTGAGGTAAACACACAACCCCAGCCATCACTTGAAAGTTACCTTTGATCCTCACCTCATTAAGACTTTTCCAGAAGCTGGTACCAAAGGTCAGCCTGCATGGACAAATAATATTTTATTTGCAGCACAAAGTCCAGAGGTTTTCAGAAATTAATGTGGGAGGTGAGAGTCCACTGCACTCACTGGATTATATTTTTACAATCCATTGTTAATCATGTACTATTTAACTCTGCAATAATGGAAGTATTTCTTTTCTATTTATTTATTGGATATTTTCTTTATTTAGGTTTCAAATGTCATCCCCTCTCTGGATCTCCCCTCCAGAAACCCCCTATTCCATCCCATCTACCCATGCCTCTATGAGGGTGCTCCCCCACCCACCCACATACTCCCTCCATCCAAGCTGGCATTCCTCTACATTGGTGCATCAAACCCCCACAGGACCAAGGGCCACTCCTCTCACTGGCATCCAACAAGGCCATCCTCTGCCACATATGCGGCCTGAGCCATGTGTCCCTCCATGTGTACTTTTGGTTGGTGGTCTAGTCTCCAGGAGCTCCTGGGAGTCTGGCCAGTTGACACTGTTACTCCTCCCAAGGGGCTGCAAACCCTCTCAACTCATTTAGTCCCTTCTCCAACGTCTCCAGCAGGGACCCTGTGCTCAGTCCAATACAGAATTCTGACAAGTACAGAGTCTGTGAGCATCCACCTTTGTATTTGTCAGACTCTGGCAGAGCCTCTCAGGAGATAGCCATTTCAGTATTCTGTCAGCAACAGTTACAGGGATCTGCAACAGCATCCAGATTTGATGACTGTATATTGGATGGATCCCCAGGTGGCTCAGACTCTGGATGTCCTTTCCTTCAGTCTCTGCTCCACACTTTGTCTCCATATTTCCTCCTGTCAGTTTTCTGTTCCTCCTTCTAAGAAGCACTGAAGCATCTACACTTTGGTCTTCCTTCTTGAGCTTCATGTGTTCTGTGAATTATATCTTGGTTATTCCGAGCTTTTGGGCTAATATCCTCCATCAGTGCATACTATGTGTGTTTTTTTATGACTGAGTTACTATACTCAGGATGATATTTTTCAACTTCCATCTATTTGCATACAAATTTCTTGAAGTCATTGTTTTTAATAGCTGAGTAGTATTCCATTATGTAAATGCGCCACATTTTCTGTATCCATTCCTCTGTTGAGGGATGTCTGGGCTGTTTCCAGTTCTGGCTATTATAAATATGGCTGTTATGAACTAGTGAAACATGTGTCCTTACTACATGTTGGAGCATTTTCTGGGTATATGCCCAGGAGTGGTATAGCCGGGTCCTCAGGTAGTACTATGTCCAATTTTCCGAGGAACCACAAGACCGATTTCTAGAGTGGTTCTACCAGCTTGCAATTCCACCAGCAATGGAGGAGTGTTCATCGCTCTTCAAATCCTTGCCAGTATCTGCTGTTGAGTTTTTGAACTTAGTCATTTTGACTCCTGTGAGGTGGAATCTCAGGGTCATTTAGATTTCCATTTCCCTGATGACTAAGGATGTTGAATATTTTTTTTAGGTGCTTCTTAGCTATTTGAGTTTCCACAGTTGAGAATTCTCTGTTTAGTACTCTACCCCACTTTTAATAGGGTTATTTGTTTCTCTGGAGTCTAACTCCTTGAGTTCCTTACCTATATTGATTATTAGCCCTCTATCAGATGTAGGATTGGTAAAGATCTTTTCCGAATCAGTTGGTTGCTGTTTTGTCCTATTGACAGCATCCTTTACCTTATAGAAGATTTGCAATTCTATGAGGTACCATTTGTTAATTATTGATCTGAAAGCATAATCCATTGGTGTTCTGCTCAGGAAATTTTTTCTTGTGCCCATGTGTTTGAGGCTTTTCTCAATTTTCTCTTCTTTTAGTTTCAATGTATCTGGTTTTATGTGGAGATCCTTGATCCACTTGGACTTGAATTTTGTACAGGGAGATAAAAATGGTTTAGTTTTCATTTTTCTACATGTTGACCTCCAGTTGAACCAGCACCATGTGTTGAAAATGTGGTCTTTTTTCCAGTGAATGGTTTTTGCTTCTTTGTCAAAGCTCAAGTGACCATAGGTGTGTGGGTTCATTTCTGAGTCTTCAATTCTATTCTACTGATCTTCTGCCTGCCTCTATACCAAACCATACAGTTTTTATCACTATTGCTCTGTAATACAATTTGAGGTCCATGATAGTGATTCCCCCAGATATTCTTTTATTATTGAAAATAGTTTTAGCTATCCTGGGTTTTTCTTCACATCTCAGTCAACTATAGGCAAATCTTTGTAAATTTCTTTTTATTTTCCATTTCCTTCCTGATGTTAACATATCCAGGGTGGGTTCATGTCTTTGTCTATCATGATATTAAGCTAAAATGTATCTATAGATATGTAGAGATCTATAGGTATGTAGATTAGGTAAGTCTTCATGGACCAAGAAATTCAGGGCAATAGATGTGCGTTAGAAATGGATTGGCAACTCAGAGACTTAGGTCTACTCTGTGAGACAGCAGATTCCTCTCCTAACATTTTCCAGAAATTAACAAGTTGGAAATCATTCCAATCTAAGTCATTATGAAGCCATAAGCACCCGGATGTAGTTACTGAATTTCAAGAATTTCATTAATAGCTTTATGATTCTTTTGTGTATGTTGTAAATAGTTTTTGGTAAAAAGAAGTTTGGACACAGACTTCATCTTTCAGTAATGTGATAATTTGCACTGCATATTTTGTAAGAACTGCACCTGTGTTACAGGGTATTCTAATCAGATTCACAGAAGGAAAATACCAGATGTACTTCACAAATGGATGTGTTCAATTGTTTATTTTTTTCAGCTCTAACACTTGAGGATAATTTATTTTAATGTTTAGTAGTATTTAAGTTCTCTGTATATATACATATGAACAAGTGCGTTTCATAAGATAGGTATTTGTTTCAGAAAGAAGAATCTTCTAACAA